TTAAGCACTGGACCACCAAAAAGGCAGTATATTCCAGCTGATATGAGGCCCCCAACACATATATAGCAGAGGACTGCTGGGTCTGTGTTCAATCAGAGATCATGCACCTAACCCTCAAGAGATGAGAGGCCCCAGAGAGTTTAGAGTTCAGGTGGGGTAGGAGGTGGAGACATCCTTGTGAAGTCGGGATTTGGGGAGGAAGTATGGGATGTAAAACAATTGGAGGGTGAACAGGTCATTAAGAGCCAATTCAATATTATATTTATTAAGGACAATGATGGTAGGTTCTCTCTAGGGCCTATGATCTTATTATGAGTTATTAGCCTGATAAACCCTGGTATGGGCTACATCTCTTGAAGTAGGTCTCAAACTCAAGCAGAATGGTTTGTTACTCCTATGATGCTCATGTTGCTATGGCATCAGAAGACATATCTTACAAGAGCAATCATTATTATAGCCTACAGGGTTAACAGCTTGGTTTTATTGATGCTTATATTTTCTCCTCTATTAAGGAATGTAAGACCTTCTAGCACTATAAAAGCTAGCCAGTAGGGATGAATTTTTGAGGTTGGTGATAACTTGGTTTCTTCATACCCTGACTCAAAACTGTGATATCTTCATTAATAGACTTACTCTCAAGTTCTGAACAGGAGCCAGGAGAGTTTACAATAGTCTGTAATGTTTGAGGTTCTTTTCAAACTACAGTATATTATCTCACATTAGGCTGGAGACTCAGGTAGTTCACATAGTCTGTTTGTGCATTAGTGAATGTTAGAAAAGAATGGTTAATGTCTCTGTAATCCCCCATCAAACAAGCAAAGAGAGACACCTAACATTGACCACTGACATTCTAGCTTTTATACAAAGAACTCTATATCATGAGAACCAAGGGAGAATCTTGATGGCATAATTGAACTTAACTTCATTTTTCCAGACTTTATCCAGGAGGCTTCCAAGGCCTGATAGCTGTTTTCTATCAACTCAGAACATGGTAATATCAACATTGTGGGCAGATTCTAGGCCAGATGTTAAGCATTTTTGCTGTTTCAGTGATGCTTCTCAGCTCAATGCCACACTACACTTGCTCAATGATTTTTTTGCAATAATTTAGAAATGTATACGTTTTTCTGTATGCTCCAACAGAAAAGAAAATGACCCTAATATAGGGGGAAATAATCCTTCAGTAGGTCAGACACACTATCATTTCGAAAAAGGATAAGCTTGAAAAATACTTCATCTTAGAAAAAACAAAGTTTACTTTTCTGGTTTCTTTGAGTGTGTCTACTTAGTTAGGCTGTGTTTGACTATATTTTCCAACTTCTACTTTTCTTAATAAGTATATTTCAAACATACAGTCATGATTATACTAGCAAACCAAAAAGAGAGTACTCCTTCAGAAAAATGCATTTAAAATTTCAGGACATTATTATTTTCCAACACTCAGAAGCAATGCCAGCCCAGTGCTCGTATCCCCTGCCCCCATAGAGCTATAAACACTTCTACCATCCCATTCAACTTATACTTTGCCAAACAGCTTTGGCACATATGTGCGAGAATGAGATCCAAGAGTTTCAGACAATATGTTCTCTCAAGCTTCATCATGTCCCACATTTTATTTTACTTATAAATGGACAAGCAATTCATGGCTCCAGTGTTGAACTCAAAGCAGGGAATGTGCACTTGGCATTTATAACAGGTCAATCAGAAGCATAGCATGACCAAAAGTAATACAAACAGGACCCACAGGGCCAGGGAATACAGAGGCTCTGGAACATTGTAATTATTATACAAAGGATTAATTACAAACTCACTGGGATGCTCTCATCATATAGGCCCTGTTCAAAGTCAGCAGGAACATTGAATAATCTTGCCTCGATCAACTGTGGAAGAAAGATGCCATTCATATATATTTAAAAAATAAGTATATTTAACACAGTAGGGGTTTTTTAAAGAAAAATACTCAAATGTATAACCTTACTTTTGTAGTTGAAGTGGTTTCCCTTTAATTTCATCTCCCAATAACCACCCAACATTTAGTTGGGAGTTATAAATCAATAGAGTCATTACAAGAGCTGTAAATTTATAAAGAACTACTAAATAAAATGTTGCCCTCCAACTTTCCTGAGGTTAGAGAGAAAGGTAGGGATGAGGACATTGAGGAATTTTAATAGGAAAACTGATCTTAATGTTACTCTAATGGTAGATACAAATCATGATGTTTTTCCACCTCTATATAGTTGAGAAAACCAGCAACAGTCCCAGGGTAAACCATGAATTGCTTTGGAGTCAGTTATTGTTACCTAACCATCTCAATAAATCTTAACAATGAGCTAACAGTATGTTTTAGTTAATTTTTAGTGAATTGATTTTTATAGCCCTTGAGGTTCACAGTAAAGCTGAGTAGAAGGGATAGCAGGTTCTCAGACCTTCCTCTGCCTTGCACAAGTACAACTTCCTCTGCTATGCCCATACAGCACCAGGAGGCCAGGCTTGTTGTAGCTGTAACTCCTCTAACAGCTCATGATTTCTACCTCTGGATAAGCAATAAGGTGTACAAATGCCAGGTTTCTTGGTGACAGTATGGCCAGTGCTTTATAAGACAATGTCAAGCTGTCTTCCAAGTAGCTGAACCATTTTATGCCACATTTCAACGGAATTGGCATTTTCATTGTTATGGACTGGGATTACTTTAGTGTAGTAGATATACTATTTTATTGTTTTATTTTAACTTCCTGGTAACATATAGAATGGCACTTTTTTACATGTTTCTTTGCCATCTGTGTATCTTTCATCGTAAGGCATCTGTGCAAGTCTTTTGATCACTTTGTAATCAGAATGTACATTTTCCTACCTCTTGTACTTTTAAGAGTTCTTTATATATTAAAAGTCCTTTGTTTGTATGTGTCTTGTAAATATTTTCTTCTAGTGTATGGCTTCTCTCCTCATTATCTTGATAGGATTATTTGGGTTGAAGTTGTGAAATTATTTTATATTAGAATATTATATAGCAAAACAGTTACATAAAAGTTTACTACTTTCCTGAGTCTCAGTTTTCTTTGCCATTAAGAGAGTCCAATGATAATAAATATCTTAATGAGACTGTGAATAAAGTAATCAGAAGACATAATGTTAGATGGTGACTATAGAATCAAGAACAGTTGTACTAGGAGGTCCTTACAACCTTAAAAGACATGAAAATTAGTTTATGAAACTATACTCCTCCATTTCATTCCAAACAAAAATGTCTATAAATGATACAACCAACCCAGGTAGGAAATGATCACTTTATCTAGCTTTGTCTTGACAAAGGTAGATAGACATGCTAAACAGTTAGTAATTAATAAGTGATGGATAAGTTGACAAATATTCTGGCTGTAGATTCCTACTGTTCATATTGTTCATGTCCAAGGTAAAAATACTCATAAACAAACAAACAAAAAATGTCAGAGGTTCTACTAAAGACAGATCAAGGTGTATATTTTAAAGAAGATGAACACTGGAAGAATGAATGTCCATCCATCTCAAAGCCAGGAAAGAAATGATCCTCTGAAACACAAGGAAGATTGATAATAAATGAACATAATGGGGCTGAGGTCTCTTAGGCCTCCAAGAGACCATGACCATTGTGTCTAATGGAGGTGACCCAGTTAGGGTTTTGGTAGACACTGGGGCAGAGGTTTCTGTTTTAAAAATCTCAATTTTTTTCTTGTTGCTTTCCTGATCCTTAGCTTCCATAACCCATTTACTCACAGGAAGACCAAGGACAACAACCCACCTCCAGGATGGAAAACAGGATACAACTGGATAGCAGGTATTGCCAGACTCAGGAATCATCTTCCCTATGGTCTTTGCATGCCTTAAGTGCATCAACTGCACAAGAAGGCCCATCACAGTGCCACCAAACTAACTATTTTCTAGGTACCAGATTCTGCAAGTCTGAGAAACGACTACTGAAGCTGCCTCTAAATATTTCTCCTACACACAGATCAACCTAAGATAAAGGTAAAATGAGATCCCTGTTGTTACTCTCAGGGGACTAGCCTCTGAAAAGTCATGCAAAGTCACAGAGATGCACTGTCCTCATGCTGGATATAAGTATTTATTAATTTTTCCCCTTCTCAAGATGGATAAAAACCTTTCCTACCAAGAGGGAGGCTGCTCTGACAGTGGACAAAACTCTTTTACAAAAAACATTATGTTTAAATTTACCCTGGCCTTGTCGACTAGATCACACAATAGACCTTCCTTCATTTTGTCCGTAGCTCAAATGCTCAAGAAGGCCTTAAAAGAAACCTGGAACTCCACTATGGCCACTGGCCTCAGAGCTATGGGCAGGTTTAATGCATAAACTGGACTATTCTCTCTTTCTAAATTGATTTTTAAAATTGGTGAAAATTGGCCCAACCTTTTAGTGCTGGCCCTTCTTATGTCAAGATGTAGCTCTTACAAGACAGAATTCAACACCTGTGAGACTTTGTTTAGAAGGCCACCCTCCTTTTCTCCCTGTTTAAGAGACTCCATAATTAAGAATATTAGTAATAAGTGTCTTTTAAATTATCTGTGGGCTTTTAAACAGGTCCAGACTTCAATCCATTCTAGGGTTCAAGACACCCTTCCAGTTCTCTTCTCAGTGTCTTCATTCATTCCAACACTTGGACCAAGTATGCATCAAGAAGTTTCAAGAAAAAAAGTTCTGACACCTCCCTGAAAAGGACCTTGTACTATCATCCACACAACACCAGCTGCAATCAAGGTTGAGATTTCCTCCTGGATCCCTCATTCTTTTGAGAAGCCTGTTTCAGTTCAAGACAGGAAATGGACAATATCACCTGAGCCCGATTTACTCATGCAAAGACTCTCTCACAAATAGAATCCCTATTTGTTTATACGAAACATACTATTGGTAGACTGTCTACATATTCCTTTGCTCTCACTTCCTTCTACAATGAAAGAATCCTAACAAACAGACAAAATAAGCCTATGTTTAAAACTGATCTCCCTCACTGGTAATGGGCAAAAGAACACCTTATTGGTGGTGGTGTTCTTATATCCATCAAAGGAAGAGCAGATGGCAGTCCTTTGTTCATTCTAGCATGAAGCCTGGCTTGGTGACCAAAGTTGGTTTATGCCTAGGACACATAAGTATTAAATCAAATTAAATCCAGGCAACACATGGGGGAGAAGAAAGACAGAGACCTGCAGGCCACCATGCCACATGTTATGGGTGCAGAAAGATTTCCACAGACCTGTCTTCTGCACTATGGCACCAAAGACCATAGACACACAAAGTGCTGCCAATAACCATGCAACATAGCACAGGAGGAGAAAGACAACAGAGACTTGAAGATATCTGTACCATCCACAGACCTGCCCTTTCACAAACAGCATAGACTGGCATAACACTTGCCAACATGCTAGATGAACAGAGGATGTCACCAGCCAAGGGGTCAGCATTCAAAGGGAGCCACCACAATGTTCAAGTATGTGATGTTAAGATGGGAAAGAAAGAGAAGTAGAGCAGTTGGGGCATTATGAAGATAGATGCAGCTGGAGTCTCGAGGGTGAAGAGGAGTAGCCTATTGTGAGCGGCCAGTCCCACAACCTGGGGTCATGGTGATGTCACAGCACAACTAACCACAAAGGGCCATATCTGAGTTCATTGCTACATAGCAGTAGGGGTCATGGTCGATGTCCTTATTTCATATTACCATATCACCACTAGAGAACATGGGAACATACCTGGTCAGGACAACCACCAAGGAATAGATGTCCAGGGGCTATGCAGAACTGTCCCTGTCACTTACTGGCTGAGGCACTCTGGATAGCTAGCTCCATTTCATAGTGATAGCAGTACCCTATCCAGTCAGCAGAGTGGCAGCCCTGTTGGCAGGGTATGGATGAGCAAGCCCTGAGGGACTGAGTATGGATGAACTAACCCTCACCTACTGCAGCACTCAGAAGAGCAGGCCCCAAATCTTGCCTGGGCAGCACAGTAAGTCTGGCCTTGGTCGAGTGGCACAGGCACAGAGGTGTTGTTCCCACCCATGCCCCTGGCCACCTCTAGCAGTTAGGAAAGCTGACTACAAGCTCATGACCTGGAGCACTATCCCTGCCCTTCATCAGCTCCAGCACTCAGAAGAGTGGGCCCTGCACCTCCCCTGAGTAGCAGAGTACAGTTTTCCCTAGTGGTAGAGGCAAAGGTGAGCTGGCCAGAGGGTGTGAGCAAGGGAGAGCTAGCCCAAACCTTTTTTGCTGTGAGGTACTCTGAGTGAGAGGGAGATAGCTTCTGCCCTTCATGCCTTGCCATATGAGGCTGTCAGAAGATCTGACACTGGGGTCATAAGAGTGGGTGAACTGCCCCTCATCAACTGCAACACTTAGCACACCTGGCCCTGAACCTTGTCTGGGCAGCATAGTAAGGCTGGTCCTAGTAAAGGGTGCACAGATGATCCAGTCCCCAAGGTAAAAAGTGAAGAAGAGATGGCGCTGCCCCTCACAGGCTGCAATACTTGGGAAAATGGGCACCATGCCTTGAATAGTTTGTACACTGGAGCTGGCTATAGATCATGAGTGTAGGTGAACCATCCCGAGGGTATGAGAGCAAGAGAACTGACCTTGCCTCTTTCCAATGGCAGCACTAGGTGGCCTTGCTGGAGAAGCGATGGAGAGCTTGCCCTGGTGGTACAGATAAGGGAGATCCAGCAGGATGACCAGCTCAGAGACCACCCAGGCCCAGATCCAGGGTTATGAGTTGGCCCACCCCAAAATCTACATCATTTCAAATGGTTAGAACATGTGAAAGACTCAGTCCTGTTAATCCAAAGCTGCAATGACTCCATGACACAGGGTAACAGGAGTCATCCTAATGAGAACACAGTATTGATAGTGTCACAGAAGCAAGTCAGATTTCTTGAACCATACCAATGACTCATTGTGATGAACATTTGCAAGTGAAGATGTACGGACAGAGGGATATATTGTGGCACACACTGTGACATTCTACAGCTTCCACAATGAGATGTTTTCTATAGTTTCTTTTATTTCTGTGTGTGTGTGTTTTATTTTGTGGTGAGAGGTTTCAAGGGCAAAGAGCAAGTATGAAGAGATGAGCTAGAGTGGGGTGCATGCTGTGAAACTCACAAAGAATCAATGGAAAGATACTATGACTACTACTATGACTATGACTACAACTATGACTACTAATACTAATACTATAAAAAACGTGATCTCATAGAACTCTTAATCCTTACCACTGTCATAGCTGGAATTGACCTTTTGACAGGCTTTAGGGAAAAGCCTTCTAACACAGCATATAATTATGAGAGTATAAGAGTGACAGACTCTTTTATATATCCCAGTGAGTGAAAGATGATTTAAAAAAAGACTTCAGTTTAAAGGTCAAAATGTAACAAACAAAATGATAGATAGATAGATAGATAGATAGATAGATAGATAGATAGATAGATAGACATCCATCCTAAAAGCATGTGTGTATATATTGTCACCTAATGAGGGGGCCCAAATGATACAATCTTCCTAGTGGTATGTAGGGGAACTGGTGGGCACTGCTCCAGCTCTAAACCTTCTAATCCTATGAACTTACAAGTAATACAACCACTACCTTTTATTTTACTTGAGTTGTTGAATTTACCTAGAAAGTAAGATTATATTCACCTGGGCATGATCTGTATGCTCTGTTTACCATCTAAAACAGACTATATTATAATGCTACTCCAATCCCTGTTCCACTCTACTGATCAATAGGATAACCCAATAACTTGTATTAATTTGTGGTTGTCCACCCCCTTACCCCCGGATAATCTAGAGTCCAAAAACTTCTATAGACCATATTTACCAATTTCTGGGGTTATATTAATTAATTCCACTCTTCTGATGGGCATGACAAGAACATGAGGAGTTTGACTGTGCTTGCTGGAGAGTGGGTGCCTGTCTGTAGAAAAGCACTGAGACACTGCTCAGGGAGTAGGAAAACAGTCTGAGCTGTGGGAAAGCTGGAGCTAGTTCTCAGACTCTTGGACATCCAGATACCAATACAAGTAAGGAAGAGGAGAGAACAGAGTCTGGGGGCCTTAGACTGGGAACCTCATCTAGCCCAAGACTGGTGGGGAGGGGGAGCTCCGGCTTGTCCCAGGGATTACTGTCCTTAGCTTGGCAGAGGCAGGCTTGGTGGTCATTCTGGATGGGAGTACAAAGAGCACTTCTACTGGAAAATTAAGCTGTGGCACTGTAACCAAAGGCCTTCTCCATGGCTTCTCAGAGCAGATCTTGATGAAAGAGACAGTCCATGGTTCCAAACATTTTATTGAATGTTTATGGGGGAAAATGTGTGCATACTGTACCATACCCACTTCTTGGAGTGGCCCTGAGATTAAATACCTTCTGCAGGGAGGAATGTCTTGGAAAGTAAGCTTATTGGCTAGCCCACCCCCACCCCACCCTAGCCTCTAGGTACCTCATTAACATGGAGAACTATGTTTTGGGCCAACCTGACCGTAGGACAATTTTTTTTTTTTTTAATCAGAGAAGTCTGTCACATGTTCCAGGCCAGGAGTCTGGCAGGGAGCTGGGAGTCGACAAAGTCTCAGGTGTGTGCCCACTGAGTCCCTGGGTCTCAACTTGCTCTATCTTACCAAACATTCTGGTATAACTTTACCCTTCAATACCCCAGGAGGTCTCTGCCTTGACTAATCATTTTATTATACTTCAAAAAAATACCACCTCCTAAATTACACCCAGCCTCAGCTGACATAAAACTACTAAATCTATTTAAAATTCTGTCACTCTCATTGTAGCAAATTCAAAATATAACTTCCAATAACCACATCCACTATCTTGTCTTCTTGTCTAGTCTCCTGAACCACTATTACATTATAAAAAGTATAATTAAAAATGTCCCTTGTCTTGTCACTGTGTATTTTCACCTTGTAAGTTCTCCATTTCTGCCTCTTGCAATATCTTTTCACAGTTTCTCTTGACACAAAAGCTTATTTCACTCTCAAAAAACTTATTTTGCCTATACTATCAGTCTTACCTGCTACACAACCTCAAAATATCTACATAATAATCCAGTTTTATATATACTCATACATATATTCCCCCAAATGTATCCTGAAGTAGAAATTTCTGGTTTCTTTGGAGACTCAGTTATCATGTGATGTTTTTCTGTAAACTGTCTTATAAGAAGATGTTTTGCTGAGAACAGACATGTGATGATTTCTGGAAGCAGCCTGGAAAAGTGGTATGTGATGTTTTGCTAGAAAAGATGCTTAAGAAAATACATGATGTTTGGTAGGGGTACAAATACAGCCCAACAGACAACAACTAACCCTACTTTGGTATTGGTTCACCTTACCACTCTTTGCTGCTCTTTGACGATGAGGCTTTGTGATATTGGTTTACCTTGGCATTCTTTACTCGTTATTGTTTGTCATGACTCAGAAAAAAAGCACACACTACTAAAGAACTTCTGGTCGTGTTCTTCTTGCCACTTTCTTGGAATCCTGCTGATTGGCTTGGCAAAGCCTCACAGTTTCTTCTGGATAGACCTGCTATTGCTAATTTGTAAATGGTACTTTTGAGTGAATCAAGCTACTGCTGCTGATTCATGGAAGCTAAATTGCTGATATTCTGACAACACAGATTAGACTTGACCCAAAAATCTATTTATAAACAGGTTCATGTCTTCCTTTGTCCTACTAATCTTTTCTTTTCAATATCTCTAGCAGGTGATGGGCTAGAAGGAAGATTAAAGCACTTAAGTACACTTACTAAAATAATGTTTAAAAATATAAGCCTACAGTGTCCTTTTTCAGGACTAGAGGGGCCCCACATCTTATTATCCTTTGGGCTGACCCATGCCAGTTGTACAAGAGACCTGCTCTTCTCATTCCAGTTATGGTAGTAATAGCAGGGCAGGAACTTGAGTACTGTGGACATAATCAGAGGATAAATAGACCTATAGGAAATAAGCTATCAGATAGATATAAACATCAAACACCTTCAGTTCTCCCTCTGTACATTCTATACCCAGATAAGTCTCTGACAAAAAAAATAATCCCAGTAAACAAATAAAGGTTAGACTTAGTTTTAATGTCCCAGGGAGGACTTTATATGACACTGAG